TCTTAGTCTCTACTGTGAATTAGGGCGTAGGTGTGAGCTTAGTTTATCCAGATAATTAATTTATCCACATAGTGAAAATACCTGTACCCTGAGTTGTGCTGTGTTATGTACACTTAAAACGACGTGCTGGATCACATGAATAACTTACTCATTTAAGATTTTAGAAATGAATCTTGTTTATATATGTGTTATAAAATAATCTTGTTTCAGTTATAAAAAGAATTTGGCTTTTAGATATCAGATATCTTTCATGCAGCCTTGTTTATTTACAAGGAACTTGCATAAATTTCTTTTTTCATGAAGAAATAAGTAAGATCACAGAGCAGTTTTGGCTTTAGTTCTGCTCTTCTGCTTTAGGCATTGCTTGGCATTCGAGCTCTTATGTTTAGCCAAACAAAAAGAGCCAAACATATGTTTGGCCACAAACCAAAGTTTCACTTTTACCACTCCTGCTTCCTGTGCCCCATGCCTCCTTGCTGATTGTTTTTCTTGCTGTTTCTCTACAAGCAGCAGTAAATTGTCTTTGCAATGAAGCGTGTGGCCTGCATGTATGTTTACTTTGTCTGTTTCCACTGCTTATTTAAAAAGTTTAATGTTTTTCTATGACAAAAGGCCCTGCCTATGCCTAACTGTAAGTGTGCACGTGTAAGTGCGGGCACGTCACGGAATGGAATATTTAAGTGCTGCACAAAAGTTATTTGCAGACAACTTTCTGCTGACTGCAACAAACCAGAATTGGTCAAGACCGTGCAAAAGCATCACACAGTTGGGACGTGGTGGTTTTTCATTGGATTCAAGTCTGTAGTACCTCAGCTGAATAAGCAGCATTTCTAATGGTGTCGCTCATAAGTCTGAGACTGATCTGGTGTGTTCCAAGGTGCAGGAGTCACCTTCAGGCTGAGAGAAGCATCGGTCAAGTGATGCACCTATCACTGTAAAATGGGGTTACCAATGCATAGGAAGCATAGCAGGAATTTTATTGTTAAAAGTCAGTTAATAACTGGAATTTCCAAAGGGATTTTTTTCCCCCATAGCAGTAACTCTGTGAGTTGTTGCAATTGCAGGAGGAGTGGCATGATCTAGGATAGTTTGCTAGTTTATCAGAAGTAATAATAATGCTGCTTAGAAGGGGTCATGCAGCAAATTCAATGGATTTTCAATGTAGTTTTAATTAAAATGAAGTTGGATGTATCTGTGGCAATAACAATGTATGAGGGGTCACTGTGATAGTCTCCTCTAAACCTTCATCCCCAATCCCACTGCCAGGTACAGATTTTTTGTTTTCAGCTTCGTGAAATGTAGCGCTCTCTTATCAGCAGACAGCAAGTGAGAGGCTGTTTCCTAGAAGAGCATATTGTTTCCTAACCAGTAGCGGTCTACTGATAAATGGCTTGTGTTTTCCTGCACAATACTTCAAGCAAGGCAAGAAAGCAAGGAAAAACCCTTAGAAAATTAACACTCTGTTCAGTTTTCAAATAAATTAACATACAGCAAGGTAGATTATTCTTCGCTGCACTGTGATCTCAAAAGCCACAGGAAGAGTCACTCCCTTGTGTCTGGAAAGCAGCGCTCCCCGGCCAGCCCTGATCTGTGGGCATTGCCAGAGACTGCTTTTTGCACAGGAGTGAAACCCAAGTGGCCTGGTTACACACTGACAGGTAAAGTTGCTCTTAAAATACAGACATAGTGAAACAGTTGCTGCTCTGATCCTTAAAAACAGACAATAAAGTTAAACTGTATCTTCACGCAGCAGGGTGTTAAAAGAAGTGTTCAGGTTTGCCCTGAGCCTTCGCTGTTGCCGTAGATGGAATTTCACACAGGACTCCAGTTCAGCTAGCTGAAGTGTGTACCAAGCAGTTCATTTTTACATACGCTGCTCAAGCTGTTTGACAGTGGGCTACAGCTTCAAAGATAGAAAAATGAAAAAACATATTTGGCCAGGCATGACACGTTTTACCTGCCTCCAACATAATTTTAAATAATGAGCAGTGGAAGCAGATTATGTAGAATAAAATAATTTGATACATTAAGTTGTCAGTGCTACACCACCAACCTCTCCAAAATGTTGTGTGGTTCTTATTTGGTTTTTGATGTACAGCTGTAGATTTTCTACTTTTTTTTTTTTTTCCTAAAACATTCTCTGGAGAATAAATGGTTTATAACATAAAGCACTGAAAAGGGAAGTGACATCTAAACGTAGCATAAGTGGGGCTGAAGGTTCTGATTGAGAAACAGGTCAAAGCAAAAGTGGGCTTCCAAAACCACCTGCAATAATCTGTGGTAGATGAACCCAAAGTCACTCACTCTGCAGCCAAATATCAATTTTGCTCTGCAGTCCTATCCCTGCTTCCGTAGCCCCAGTCGTCCAAAGTGCAGAATCAGATTCTGGAAGGTAGAATGTGCCATCAAATCCCCTTCCTCTGTGCCTGCACTCAGCCGCTCAATGGCGGCACTCCCAGGAGCAAGCAAATTGGGAGGCCGAGCACGAGCCACAGCAGAGCCTGCTCTTGGTGTACACATCAGTGCGTGTGCCAATTTGTCTAGTTATTGCACAGAAAAATATATTTGCTTGTATAGGTAAAGTATTCACAGATGGGGAAAATCTGCTTCTAAAAGTTGCTGGTAAGGAGCTAAGTTTAGTAACAGCAAAGATTGGTAAAATCCTATTCTAAGCTACAGCCTTATGAATTGCAATTGTCTGGCATAAAATTGGAATTTTTTTTTTAAACCAATGTTAATATTAATGTATTAAAATTTATGTGAATTATCTCACTGCCAATGAAGTGCAATACAGAATTGATGAGATTCCCTGTTGCTACTAGTTGGAATTTCTTTTTTTATTATAACCTTCTTTGGGGAAGATTTTGATTATGTATTTTTGGAAGCATTTTTTTTTCTGCCTAGTAGCTCCGTTCTCAGTATCCTTTTCTGCA